AAAAATGTCATCCCTTAAGTTCATATAAAATGAAACAGTGGACGTAATGTACCTGCTCTGAGAAACCCTCCTGCATGTTCCCAATGGGGAACTAAATGTTTGAGCTGAGCTCCAAAACACACTCTACCCTACCCACCAAGCAAAACCCCAAGGTGCCAGGAACCGTTAACTTTGGGAAAAAGCTGCACCAAGAACCAAATTCTCATTCTCAATTCTGTGACTCAGAGAAGTTCAAAGTACAAGGGCACAATGCCTTAAATTCACAACTGAAGCAAATAGGTCTGTGTCTCCTGAGGACCCCCACCTTCTACTGCAGTGAACCTCCAACCTGGCTGCCCCTTACAGTTCTACAGGAGGATTTACAAATCTGGAGACCCAGACCATCCCCCAACCCCATTAAATCGAAATGAGAAGCAGGCACAAGCGTTTTTAAAGGCTTCCAAATAGTTTTCAAGTGCTGCCAAGTATGAAAATTACCTCTCCACGGCACTGTAGCCCACCCCCCTGACCAAGCCCTTGGTCTCCCGGGTTTGCATAAGCAGACCTGTGGGAAGACCCCAAAGATCTTGAAGGACATGACCCTTTTTAGTCTCCTTCCCCCAACAGCTCAAGCCACGTGGAAGGAGCTTCACCGATTCCAAGGCGTCGCAGCCACCTACCTTAAGGCTGCAGGCCTCCTCCTCTAGAGAAGCCATTTCTTCTGGAGAGGGGCTGACAGGGCGAAGAGGGGATCCCCCTAACGAAAGGAATCCCCGTGTGCTCCGAATCAGGCAGCCTTTGACGGCAGCCCCGCCCACACCTGGATCAGAGGAATGAGAAGAGGAGGTATTTCTGCGGCAGGATGAGCCCCAGGGCAACCGCGGCGTGCAGGCCACATCGTCCTCCTTCTGGACTTTCAGGCGCTTGGGGCTGCTGGTCCCTCCTGAACGCGACGCAGAGGTAGGAGCTGGCCGACTGGAGGGGGCCACATCACTGGGCTCCCGGAGGCAGCTGCGCTTGCGGGGACACCCTTCCGAAGTGCTGCTCCAGTGGTACTTGACCTTGCGCCGCTCCGACGCCATGGGCACCTGCAAGGCAAAGAGGGGGCCTGGATTCCAATACCAGCCCTCTTCAGACTCCCGCCACCCTGGGTCCCCTGGGGGGAGGGCAAGCCAGAAGGTCAGAGTCAGGGGCCTCACTGACCTTTCCCCCTTTTTTCCACTGCCCATCACAGTTCTCAGGGTTTCGGAGATGCCAACGCGCTTCGCCTTAGTCAAAACGATCCGAGATTTACTAAGGGCGTCGGTTTGGTTTCCAAACCCAAAACGTGCTTCCGCGATCACCAAGCGCTACAGTTTGCACAGCGCTACTAGGGAGATGTCAAAGCGCTTCCGGGATTACAAAGCGCTTCGATTTAGTTTGCAGTACGGAGCCCTTTGGGGATGTCAAAGCGCTTCAAAAGATTACAAGGCGCCTTAGAGTCCACACAGGGCGACCGGACCCGCAACCTTTGGCGGGCGCTTGGCCCAGAGGCCCGGAATGCCGAGGGCGGGCCGCAGAGCAGGGCCGGACCCGGCGCGCAGCCCGCCCCGCTCCCGCGGCCCCGCGGACCAGCCCGGGGCCCGAGGGGCCGAGGCGCCCCTCAGGAGCCCGCGGTGCCGCGCTCGGCCGCCACGGGACACCCTCCGGCTCGCCCGGCTGCCCCTTCCGTCCCCGCCGCCGCAGCCCAGACGTCGACCCCGCCGCCCCCACGGCCCGAAAGTCCCGCCTCGGCAGCCTCCTGGTCTCCCGCCCCAGTCCTGCAGCCCCAGGCGGCCGCCGCCCGAGCTCCTGCCACACCGGCCTCGGCGGCGCCCGCCTCCCGGAACGAGCCCTGCGGCCCGCAGCCGGGCGTGCGGCGGGGGCGGGCCTTGCGCAGAACGGAGGGCGCCCATTGCTCGAATCTGCAGGAGGCGGGACCCCGAGCAAGACGGAGCTCGCCTGTTGGCCAGGAGGCTTGGAGGCATTGGTCGGAAGCAAGGCGGGGCGGAGCCACTCACGTGGGCCAGAAGAGCGCGAAGCTAGGCAGGGCCGCGGTTACCCCCCGCCAGCCTTCGGTGGGATTAGGGGCGTTCGCGGACCTCCATCTCTCAGTGCGGTTCCCCGCTGCTCAGCGCTTCGCCGCTTAGCCGGACGGTTTAGGTCCCGATCCCCTCCTCGAACCCGCACCAACATCGTGACCCCATTTGCAGAGCAGGAAACTGTGGATCAGAGAGACCAAGTGACACACCCAGAAAGTGGCCGAGTCGGAAGTTAGGAGCCATAGGCAAAAAAAAAGGCTACACAAAAATGTAAAATGTAAAATTTTTGCCGGGCAAAAATATCAAAGTTAAAAGACAAGGTACAAACTTAATAAAATATTCGCAACACATGACAAAGGGCTGATATCCTTACTATGAAAAAACTTTTTAAAACGTTTTATTAATACTTATTAATTTAACAGAGAGAGCGAGCGCGCGCGCGGGTGGGGAGGTGGGGAAAGGGGCAACAAAGGGAAAGGGCGAAGGAGAGTCCCCGCTGAGAAGGAAGCCTGATGCTGGACTTGATCCCAGCATCCGGGATCCTGACCTAAGCCAAAGGCATCCTCAACCTGCTGAGCCACCCAGGCACCTGATGGAAGTTTCTTAATGAGATACTCAAGTATTAAAACGTAAACATGTTTACTGGAATTAAAATAAAAACTTGAAAAAATAAAATGGAAACAGGAATGAACCAAGGGACAGACAAAAATTATGAAAGGCTCTTTAGTATGTGAAAACAAAAATGTCTCCACCTCTGTCACTTAAAAATACAAGTAAAATTATAATTTTGCACCTATTTGTCAGAGATCAAAAAGCATGTAATATTTTTTGTAGCTGAGGATGTGGGGAAATGCATTTTCCTACCTGATTCGATGTAAATTGGTACAACCTCTTTGAAAGGCTGCACATTTTGAAGTTACAAGAATGAAAAAACACCTCAAAATCCAGCATTGGGATTATGAAATATTATGGATGACAAAATATGAAATATCCTTAGAAAGGAATACCAGGCAAAAAGACTAAAGTAATCCAAAAATATTATTGAGGAAGAATGGCCAAAACAAAATGTGAACAAACATACCCACACTGAAGCCAGAAATTCCAACTGTTTTCAGCTCAAGCTAACTCACAGTTTTGATTTTCCAACGAAAATCTAATGATTGATTAGTTAAGCAAAAAGACAAATTTTCATCACCTTTGGAAGAATACCCCAAACTAGGAGCAGTGGTTGCCTGTGGGCAGAAGAAGGGAGACACTAAAATTCCAGTGGGGAAAAAGGCTTTCTTTCCCCCACATACTTGTTTGTACTACTGGATTTTTTTGGTCATATGCACTTTTTAAAAACAAAAAGGCGGTGGGGAACACCTGGGTGGCTCAGTGGGTTAAAGCCTCTGCCTTCTGCTCAGGTCATGATCCCAGGGTCCTGGGATCGAATTCCGCATAGGGCTCCTTGCTCGGCAAGGAGTCTGCTTCTCTCCACCTCTGCCTGCCACTCTGCCCGCTTGTGAGCTCTCTCTCACTCTCTGTCTCTCTCTCTCTCTGACAAATAAATAAATAAAATCTTTAAAAAAAAAAAAAAAAGTCAGGCCTTCCCTCTAAGGATTCATAGAAAAGCATCACAGTGCCCATGGGCCCCTGGAATTGATATACAGAAATGTATGTATATGTATGTATTTACAGCTTGCTGAGGGGAAAAGGTCTTTAGGTTGTCATAAGTGGTTCATTGACCTTTCTGCAAATGTATGAAGCTGTGGTCTGGAAATGAAGATATGTCTAGATGACCAGTACCCTATTGGCACTAGCCCTCTATTGCTCAAACAACCCTGAAACCACCCTACTTATAACTGTAAGGCTCTTACCACATGCCAGGTCCTATTGGGGCATATAACACACTCTAGTTGAATCCTCACAGCTACCAGAGCTTAAAATAGGGGTGTCGGTACAGATCACTGTCCACCGGGACTGGAGTCCACCCAACTTTGTTACATATCAGTACAAAGCTGATCTGGTTCCGGGACTATGGAATATTTTCATGAAGCAAGATCTTCCCCTTGCCCTGGCAAACCCATGAGACAGGTACTTTTTTTTTTTTTATCCCCATTGTATAGATGAAGAACCAGAGGCTCAGAGTAACTCCCTAACTTGACCCAAGATCACACAGCTACTAACACCAACATTTAAGCCAGCACCCAACTCTTAGACGCTCCCTGATACCCCCTTATCATGGGCCCAGAGCCCCTTCTCCAAACAAATTCATCTGGACACAAAACTAATTGCAAGAGATCTGTTGACTTTACGGATGTATCTTTATTTTACAAAAAAAAAAGTCACTACAGTAGGATTATTTAAAATAGGACACACTGAATTTAAAATAACATTTGTTTCACAAAAAGATTTGCAACATGACTTTTCAGACGAATACCCACTGCATAAACCTTAGGTACGTGGCAGAAATATATGTTTAATGTCTTTTTATTTATTTTATTAAAAAGGACAAGTGCATTTTCAAAGTACTTCTGTAACCGTGTCTCACCTGTTCCTCCCAACAAGCCAGTGAAGGAAAATGTACCGGTGTTATTTACAAGGAAACCAAGGTTCCAGAAATTAAATAATTGATTTAAATAGCAACAGAACTGAACATGAAACTAGCTCTGTTGATTCTTCATTCACCCATAAATAATACATACACTCAAAACAAAAGCTCCACTAACAAGATTAGCATTAGTGGGATGGGAGGATAAAGGTGCTGAGTGGGCATTAAATAAATATCTGTGGTTACAAGATTTCTGAGGGAGAACGTGGAAAACCTACGGAGAGCCCTTTGCCAGGTGTCTGGCATTTGTAAACTCCAGCTGAGAATCTTTCAGGCCATGGAAGTTTGCAGGTGGTTGTCGGCAAATATGACACAGAGATGTAACTTTGGAAAGTACAACTGACAGTCCTCCCTCAGTTCTCAACAGTATTGCCACACACACCCCAAAACCACATAATCACCCACATCCTGGGCCCATGGACCAGTGTTTCCGCTTCGGTCCCCTGATCCCCAGCTCTGATTGACAAATCCCAGAAAGAACGATGACTTCATGGATTTTTGTGTATTGAAAAGCTGAGGTCCCTTCTTTCCTAACTCTGGCAAGATGGAAGCTTCTCTCCCTCTTCTTTCCCATCAGGAAAGCTGATGTTTGGTGTTTCCTGGGAGATTATGATTCTGCCTCAGATCTTTTTCTTGATTTGGTGTTCATCTTTCCAATTGAGGACAAGCCGTGCTCTAGGCATCAGGGGCCAAAAAGCTCAATGCTGTCCAGTTTCCCTTCTTTGTAGAACACGATATTCTCCATCAGTTTCTTTTTGGCCTCATTGATCTCAATTTTCCATGAAGTCTCTGTAGTTGATGTTCAACAAAAAGTTTATTTTTTTTAAAGATTTTATTTATTTGACAAAGCAAAAGAGAGAGAGATCACAAGTAGGTAGAGAGGCAGGCAGAGAGAGGGGGGGGAAGCAGGATCCCCGCTGACCAGACAGCCTGACACGGGGCTCGATCCCAGGACCCTGAGATCATGACCTGAGCCAAAGGCAGAGGTTTAACCCACTGAGCTACTCACGTGCCCCTCAATAAGAAATTTAAAGAAGGAACTTCAACAAAAGGCATTTGGAAATAGTTACTATTATTATAATTCTTAGAAAGCCAGACTTGTTCAGTTTCTCACTTAAGTCAGATTTTTGAATCAGGCCCTGAGTATAATGAGCATTTTCATTGTTTCTGCCTTTGCAGTGAAGTCCTACCACCTGCCCCCACTTTTCTGAAAGGAGGGGGCTTCCATGTTCCTTCCATGGATGGGAGAGGTTGGGATGAACATTTATACCCCTCTCTGTTTTTCCTCTTCTCTCCTCCCAGTGGGAGGAGGAACAATAGGAGTGGTAGAGCCTGGGACATTTATTAAGCCATGTTTACTAGGGGAGGGGGACACTGCATTGAAAAGGCCTCCCAAATTTTTATTTCAGTAGGAAGACCAGGATATTTGGAAAGGAGAGACAGAGAAAGTAAGAGTTTTGACTTGGTCCTTAAGTACGATGGGGACCCACACAAGGGCTTTAAACAAGAGGTGGCATGAGTTGTTTTTAAAAACCACTCTGAAAATAAAAAATTAAAATAAAATAACAAAATAAAATAAAATATTAAAACAAGGAAGAGAGGACACAGGAAGGGTGTGTGGTCATCCGGCAAGAGGACAGTAGCTTAGCCAAGGGGGGCATGGGAGGCAGTACAGAGAATCAGATGGAACTGAGAGATATTTAGGCCAATGAATAGACTAGGTGAGGGACCGGACATAAGGGGCCAGAGACAGAGGGAGGTATCAAGGATGACTCCCATCCAAGGTTTCTTTTTGAGCAGTCTGCTTGTAGTGAATGGCTGAATAATCAAGGAAGGCATGAATGAGAGCGACAGAAGGAACGGGCCGAGTTAGAGACACACGAATGCGCTTGCCTATGCACTCAGATCTCCACACACTTACCATCCTGGGGAGGCTCCGGGCTGGCACAGGCCGCTGAGGAGTCTGCCTGTGCTCCCCCACAGACCTGCAGCCTGCCTTCTCCATCCTCTGTTGAAGGGAGTGAGGTGGCAGCCCCAGCCCCGGGTGCTACCCTCATGGAGTAGGAGGCATCAAGGCTGGAATTGTCCACGTCATCTGTTTCTTCTGGAGTGTTGGAGGAAGAGCCTGTGCCCTCAGAAAGGCCACTCCAAGGGAGCAGCGTCTCTTGACCTCTGAGCCGCTCGTCCACAGCGGCCACATAGCCACACACCTTGGGCAGAGGAGAGAAAAGAATTCTTTCTGAAACTGGGGCACCTGGATGGCTCAGTCAGTTAAGCATTGGACATCTGATCTCAACTCAGGTCTTGATCTCAGGGTTGTGAGTTCAAGCCCCATGTTGGGCTCCATGCTGGGCATGGAAGCCTACTTCAAAAAAAAAAAAAAAAAAAGAGGGAAAAAATGAAACAAGATGGGATCAGGAGGGAGAAAAACCATAAGAGACTCTTAATCTCAGGAAACAAACTGATATTGCCGGTGTGGGGAGAGATAGGGTGGTAGGGTTATGGACCCCGGGGAGTATATGTGCTATGGTGAGTGCTGTGAAATGTGTAAGCCTGATGATTCACAGACCTGTACCTCTGGGGCAAATAATACATTATATGTTAATAAAAAAAAAAAAAAGTAAAACAAAACTCTTCCTGAAATAAAAAATCTTACAGGTATCACAGGCCTCAGGAGAGACAATGAAGAATCAAATGTTGATTCTTTTTGCTTTGTCTGGAAGAACAGTGAAAGCCCTTTGAACAGAGCTGAACTTGCCCCCATTCACCCTAGCCATAGATGAGAGCACATGACCAAGATGGACCTATCCTATTCCTCTGACCCGGTAATGATCCAGGTTTGGGCAAGTGACCCAAGCTGACCAACTAGAACCCTTCTTTGGGATTTTTCTACCTAAAGCTTACTGAGGAAGGATTCCCAATTCCTTTCTAGTGGTTGACCCAGACTCTCCACCCACAAAGAAAACCCATTCACAGCAGGGAAAAATGAAGACCCCTGCAAAGAAAAAAGCAGAAGCAAGAGATGGAAAAGTGGGGCACAGGCACAGAGACACAGATAAATGCACCTTTGCTGGTGGAGACCCTGGGTCTAGCTGGCCTAGCAATGCCTGTCCTGTCTGCTGTTTGGTTACATGACCCAATAAATTCATTCATTCATTTATTCTTTCACTCATTTATATACTCCCTTCCAGTCTCCCTTGCTGTGTGAATATGTATGTGACACTAAGAGTTTGACCTGAGTTCTATCACTTTGAACTGGAGATGCCCTAAGTAATAAAGATATTACTTGCCTTTAAAGGTGTTTCTAATTAGGGAGGTTAGGAAATCAGAAGGAGGCAAGGAAGGAATATTTCTTCTTTACATACAAAGTATGTAAACGGCATATAAGCATACCCTTAATAACAATGATACATCTCACTTACTCAATGCCTTTGCAATTTACAAAGCACATTTGAAATATGATACACAATAAGTTTTTATAGGTAAAAAATTAAAAGATCAGAGAAGTTAAGCTCCTTGCCCAAGGCTATTTAGCCAGTAGGTAGCAGAGCTGACCACTGACCAAGGCTTACTTGTCTTCAAGTCCATGACCCAGATGACCTCTCATCTTCCTAGTCTGTTTGTGAAATACTGAAGGCAAGGACCATTTCTCATTCCTCTTTGTATATGTCAAATGCCCTATCCCCTTTACTTCACACAGCAAATACCTCCTCATCCTTCAAGGTCCAGTTCAAATATCACCTCTTGAGACAAATCTTCACAGTATATGCCCAATAAATATTTGTCAAGCTAAAAGCTACATTCCCTTGTAGCTATGTGTGGCCATGTCACTAGATTATGGCCTGTGGAGTGTGAGAAAAAGTGATGTGTGCATTTCCAGGTCACACATTTAAAAGGCAGGGAGTAGGGACACCTAGGTGACTCAGTTGGTTAACTGTCTATCTTCAGCTCAGGTCATGATCCCAGGGTCCTTGCTCAGCAGGGAGACTGCTTCTCCCTCTGCCTACCACTTCCCCTGCTTGTGCTCTCTCTCTGACAAATAAACAAACAAAATCTTTAAAAAAAAAAAAAAAAGGTAGGGAGTGTGTTCTTCTCTTAACCCCCTTTCAGTGGCTGGAATGCAGATGTGATGGCCTGAGCTAGAGCAGCCATCCTGGACTCTGAATTGGAATCCACATAGTAAGGATAGCAGAGCAACAATACAAAGGGAGCCTGGCGTCCCCAATAAAGTGGCACTGTCACATCAGCTCTAAACTGCCTACAGTCAAGTGTTTAAGCTAAAGAGAATAAACTATCTCATTTAAAACACTGGATTCTGGTCTCCTCAATTATAGCAGCTTCTTCAAGTGATACAATGAAGAGAAGAATAAAATAAATGAAGAGATGAAAGCCTGAAAAAAGAAATAAGTGGTTCAGGGAGAGAGATCTTTTCAAAACACCAATCTGATTATGTCCTGCCCCTGGTTCAAACCCCTAGTGTTTTCGTCAAAATCCTACCTGAGCGTGCAAAGCCCTCAACTACTGGGCTCCTCCTTCCTCAGCAGCTCCACCATAACCCACTCTTCCCCAAGTACTATTTGTTCTAGCCACTCTGACCCTTCAGACCCTTGACCAAACCAGGCGTTCTCTCTCCTTAAGCCATTTGCATGAGCTGTTCCTTCTGCTTGGATTGCCCTTTGCTCACACATCACTTCCTTGGGGAAAGTCCCCCTGGGTGGGGCCCCATCACTCACTATCCCAATGCTCCCCACCCAGATGATTCCTGTGCATTGTCTGAGAGCTCCAGGAAAGTAGAACTGGGCCTGCCTTCTTCACGGATTTATCCTCCAGGACCCCGCACACAAGTGCTGACTGACTGAACACTGTTACCACTCAGGCACTTGGGGAACAGCCCAGGTGAAGAACAATGACGAGGGTCTTGAGTCGTGGGTCTCTAGTTCCTGCCACATCATGGTGCAAGACGGTGAACAAGGGAAGTCCAGAGAGCTCTGACAGAAGTTCACTCTGTGGCCTCCTCTTCTCCTCTCTAGACCTTTACTTCCTATAAAATGACAGGCTTGGGCTATAGCAGTGGTGTTTGAAGACTTTTTTTTTTCAGCTGCTAAAACCTTCCCTCAGATAAATTACTTAGAATTCAATGTGATTCTGTGAAGTGAACGGGGGTGTCTGGTGGTAGTCATGGGTGGGGCCTGCAGCTCTCCATGCCCTCTTGCTGCCGAAAGCAATTCCTGAGGTAACTTCAAGGAGCCCCTCTCTGCCAGGCACCACTGGAAAATCACTCAGCCAGATGGTCTCAAAGAGTCCTCTCAGGCAGCTATTTGGTCCTTAGAAATACCTAGCAGAGGTCCCCAAATTTATACCTGTTACCATGGAAACCACCACTATATATCACATCCATAGGAAAATATTTTGCTCCTAATGTGGTTGATTTCTGGGGTATCTGCTTAAGCCCAGCGGCTAAAGATGCTCCTTTCTTCTGGGATCAGCCTTTTTCACCTTCCTGGGGTGGGCCCCGTGATCACCAGGTTTATAAACAGGACCCCACTCCCCTCACCTTACCAGATTGGCCAACAGGTACACTTCTGACTGAAGGGAAGCCAAACAGGCTCTCTCACTGAGAATTGGGACCTGGAGACTTGATCTCTCAGTGGTGTAGAACTATAACATATAAGCAAGACAGACAGCCATATCCCCTGGCCAAGAGGATAGAGGCAAGGAAAAGGGAGTCTATAGACAAGAGAGGAGGAATCAAGGAGATTCAGAGAAAGCAGTGTTCTGTTAACATCTGAGCCTGGGATCCTGCCCCCCACCCCGGCCCCCAGCACACCACCCTCAGGCTCCTGAGCTACCCTTATCCATTTGATTCTCTCCTTTGCTTCTATGAGCTCCAATACGATCTTTGCAACCAAATACAGCACTGGTTTATGAAATAACATCTAAGTAAAGGCCTCAATCCCGAGCCATGCCCCAGTTCCTGGTAAAGCAGAACTGTGAGGCCACCCAGGTCAGGGGCCCATGGCCATGGGGAAAAGGCTGAGAGTGAGGCTCACCTCAGCCAAGCTGGCATTCCGCCTCCTCAGGCAGAGGCAGGTGGCCATGGCCAAGGCCTCAGCACAGTCCTCTGGCAGCCTCCCAGCTCTCTTCTCCAGGTACTTCTGGCAGATCTCCATAGCCATCACCTTTTCCACGTCCGTCTTTCTGCAGCACAGCGAGGTGGTGCTGCTTGGGATTTCACTGAGGAGTAAATCCTTCTGTGGGAAGAAGAAGATAAACACCCCCATGTGAGCTGCAGGGATATGGGATTCCACCGCATGGGCCCCAGCATCCCCTACAACTGCACCAGACCTGCAAAACTTCAAAGAAAACAGGATTTTAAAAAATAAATGCAAAGATCCAAGAAACAAGTGAAAAAGCCAGAACTGGAGAATTGTTAAATTCCCTACACATATGGGGCATTCCATAGTACACTCCACAAAGGCAGGGGCTTATCCTAGGCCTCAGTTGCTCCATTAGGAAAATAGGGATAATAAGACTAACACAAAGATTAAAAGATATAATGCATCTAGGGGCACCCAGGTGGCTCAGTCAGTTAAGTGTCTGCCTTTGGGCTCACATCATGATCTCAGGGTCTTGGGATCCAGCCCCAGGTAGGGCTCCCTGTTCAGCAGGGAGTCTGCTTCACCCTCTCCCTCTGCCCCTCCTCCCCCCACAACCCCACAGCTGGTGCTCACGGGCTCTCTCTCTGAAATAAATTAAAAAAAAAAAAGATACTATACATCTGAAGCATAAAGTATGATACTCAACATAGAATAAAGATTCAATAGTCTCTCAATAATAAAAATTAATAATAATAATTAATAGCCACCATTTCTATACTACTACATGTTGGGCACTTTACCTATATTAATAACTTAATCTTAGTAGCAATTACAGGTGAGCTCTTTTATGATATGAAATACACATTTTAGGATGCAGGTTCTGACCCATACATATTTATTTATTTATCAAAGTTTGAGAAGCATCATTTTTTTTAAAGTTTTATTTATTTAAGTAATTTCTATACAAGGTGGGTCTGGAACTCATGACACTGAAATCAAGAGTTGCATGCTCTTCCAAATGAGCCAGCCGGGCACCCCAAACCCCTATTTATTTAATAGGAGGTCTACTATATAAACATTATATACATCTATATATTTTATAAATTTTGTATTTACATATAAGTTTTATAACATTTTATACTATATAGAAAGCAGGAATTTGAACTATGCATATAACAGAAGATATATTTTGCAAAAATACATAGCACATTTATATAGTATAAATTGATCATAATATTTCATAAGTATATATTTACATATTTACAAATATATGTTACAATATATTAAATACATTGATTAAATATAAGAAAATATGTAATTATGTATAATATTGATTGGTATAATATATAGTGCATTAATCTATTATATTTACATTAACATGAAACATTTACATTTATGTATTTATATTTGTGATATATTTATTGTATAAATAATAAAACATCTATATATAAATTTTCCACGTATATTCTATGTATTTTATATAAATTTTGTTTTTTGTCTTGGTTTTTTGTTGTTTTTTTTTTTTGAGAGTGAGAGAGCATAAACGAGAGCACTAATGAGAGAGCACAAGCAAGGGAGAGAGGGAGAATCAGACCCCCTACTGAGCTTGGAGCCTGATGTGGGGCTCGATCCCAGGACTCCAGGATTGTGACCTGAGCTGAAAGTAGACACCCAACCAAGTCACCCAGGTGCCCAAGGTCCTGTACTTACTAAATGTTCTAACAAGCCTGTCTTGCATTTATAATTAGAAATATTAAAATTAAGAGTTTTTGTTTGTGTCATTTTTAATGTCAAGAGTTCCCACTTTCCCATCTATAAATATGGCCATCAGAAACCCCAGATTTTGTGACAGTCTGGCACCTGCTGGCTGTCCTTTCCTATCTTGTCTCCTCCCACTGTGACTCACTGAACTCAGTCACTCTGGCTTCTAGCTATTTTTGGAAGCTCCTAAACTCATCCTGCCCCAGGGCCTTTGCATTGCTGCTCCCTCTGCCTAGAATGCTCCTCCTTTAAGTCTCACCACGTCCTAGTACCTGACGTCCTAGTACATCTCTGCTCAGATGCCACCTTCTCCAAGCCTTCCCTGACCTAAAATATCCCTTTCCCTGCTCCTCCACTCTATCCTCTAACCTTATTTCACATTTCTTTTTTTTTTTTTTTAGGATTTTATTTATTTATTTTTGAGAGAGAGATCGCACAAGGCAGGAGCCCGACATGGGACTTGATCCCAGAACTCCAGGACCATGACCGGAACTAAAGGCAGACACCAAATTGAGCCATCCAGGCACCTTTTATTTCACATTTCCTAATAGCACACATCACTGGCCTGGAATTATATACATTTTAATTTACTTGAATATGGTGTGCTCTCCTCCACTAGAATGAAAGTATCAGGAGGGAACTCTTGCTCACCTTTGTATCCTCAACCCCAAGAACAGTGTCTGGCACATAGTAAGTACCTCACAAATGTTTTCACAAGTTGTACATACTAACTTATTTTTTGGCTAAGTTTCTTCTCTTCTTTTTTATGTAATTTTATTATTTTTAACAGAAGTCAATCGTTAAATGTAAAACTAAATTTATTTTTATTACTTTATGCAGATTTTCATAAAAATGCATTTACAACTCTGGGGAACAAAAGATTAACAGAGATTATCAGGCATGGGCTGTGATATTTGTTTCAAAAACAAAAGAAGACAGTCCCCACTATACCTCAGTTTCCCCAGCCAGAAAATGGGTCATCTGAGGATTCAGCAATACCTACTTGGCTGACACCGTGAGGACTTCACTTCCTGGAAACTAAAAACCTCCAGCTGGCAAGGGCTGCTTTTATGAATGCCCTTTTGCACAATTCTCTCATGTGAGCTCTGCCTTTTAAATATGTTTTTCTACGGGGTATCATGGTGTTTAAAGTCCCAAACAGAGTCTGCACTGAGTATGGATCCCAACATGGAGCAAGATCCCGACCTGAGCTAAAACCAAAGTCATACGCTTAACTGACTCTGCCACCCAGGCACCCCTTTTTCATTTTTTAAACATATTTATTAGAAATATAATTAATGGTAACATGTGGACTTTGTGTTAGTTTCAAACAAACCAAATTTAAAAAGCAATTTTTGAGACAACTTGGGAAATTTAAACATGGAATGGGCCTTAAATGATATTAAGGAATTAAGAAAATTATTTTATGGGTAGAATAACATAATATCTGGCACATGCTTTAAAACACACACACACACACACACACACACACACACAGAGGTTTTTTGGTTCCAAAAGAAATAAGAATAATGTTGATAACTATTGGGAAGCATGTATGGAGATTCCTTATAATCTTCTCTTTACTTTTGTGCATATTTGAAATTGTCCATAACAAAAACGGTTTTCAAAAACTGACTATGCCTGAGGCCAGGAAAGGGGAGGAGAGAGCATGGTACCGCTACCCTGTGTGGGTGGGTTTTCTGAACCAAGTACACAGATTATCACCTTATTTTCACTCACCAAAGGTAATACCCACCTATGGTTCAGATTATGTTACCCAAGACCTTCTGCTAAGAAGTCTATAGCTATATCACTTTGGTTACATATTTTTATATATATATATATATATATATATATTTATTTATTTATTTATTTATATATATAAAATAATTATTACAGTAGCAAGAAACTGCTTAAGGGGTATTAAAATAACAGTAATAGGGGCACCTGGGTGGCTCAGTTGGTTAAGCGTCTGCCTTTGGCTCAGGTGATGATTCCAGGGTCTTGGAATCAAGTTCATCAGGCTCCTTGCTCAGCAGGGAGCCTGCTTCTTCCTCTGCCTGCCACCCCCCCTGCTTGTGCTCTCTCTCTGACAAATAAATAAATAAAACCTTAAAAAAAAAATAAGTGCTCGCTTTGGCAGCACATATACTAAAACTGGAAGGATACAGAGAAGATTAGCATGGCCCCTGCACAAGGATGACACACAAATTTGTGAAGTGTTCCATATTTTTTTTTTAAGATTTTTATTTATTGATTTGACAGACAGAGATCACAAGTAGACAGAGAGGCAGGTAGAGAGAGAGAGAGGGAAGCAGGCTCCCTGCTGAGCAGAGAGCCCGATGCGGGACTCGATCCCAGGACCCTGAGATCATGACCTGAGCCGAAGGCAGCGGCTTAACCCACTGAGCCACCCAGGCGCCCCAAGTGTTCCATATTTTTATCTCACAAAACAAACTGAGGGTTGCTGGGGGGTGGGGAGGTAGGGATAGGGTGCCTGGGTTATGGACATTGGGGAGGGTATGTGCTATAGTGAATGCTGTGAATTGTTTAAGACTGAAGATTCACAGACCTGTACCCCTAAGGTAAATAATACATTATATGTTAATAAACAACAGAAATTTATATCCCCCAAAACAAACAAATAGCAGTAATAATAGTAATAGCTAACACATATAGTTCTTACTATGTTCTAGTTACTGTTTATGGTCCTGTTTTGTTTTGGTTTTTTTTTAGTTTGTTGTTGTTGTTGTTGTTGTTGTTTTTGACAGACAGAGATCACAAGTAGTCAGAGAGGCAGAGAGAGGAGGAAGCAGGCTCCCCGCTGAGCAGAGAGCCCTATGCGGGGCTCTATCCCAGGACCCTGAGATCATGACCTGAACCGAAGGCTGAGGCTTTAACCCATTGAGCCACCCAGGCACCCCTGGTCCTGTTTTAGGTACATACTCCTTAATGTTCACTAAATCCTCTTGGGTACTCTTAGGTACTATCATTATCCCCAATTTAAAAACAAGAAAATATAGGACACAACTTTTTTCATTTGTCCATCTATTTATTACCAAAGATGGGATTGAACTATATACTGTTCTGAACCTGCTTTTTCACTTAGAAATAGTTCCTTGTCAGAACATACATGTTTTTCTCATTTTTTTAAAAGATTATTTATTTATTTATTTATTTGACAGAGAGTGAGAGAGAGAGCACAAGTAGGCAGAGAGGCAGGCAGAGAGAGGGGGAAGCAGGCTTACTGCCGAGCAGAGAGCCCGATGCGGGGCTCGATCCCAGGACCCTGATATCATGACCTGAGCCGAAGGCAGAGGCTTAACCCACTGAGCCACCCAGGTGCCCCTTTTTCTCATTTTTTTAAATAAGAACATTTATGTTAGCTTTATTTAGAAAGACCAAAACCTGGAAGCATCCCAAATGTCCAACAACTGATGGATAAACAAATGGTCATACATCCATACAGTGAAATACTCCTCAACGATAAAAGGAATGATGACTAGAATGCACAGTAACAAGGATGAATCTCAAAACACAACACAAAGTGAAAGAAGCCTGAAACAAACAGGTATATACTCTAAGATTCCATCTACCTGGTACTCCAAAAAAGAACTATATGGACAGAAATTAGTCAGGAGGAGAGCCTGGGTGGCTCAGTCAATTAAGCATCTGCCTTCAGCTCCAGTCATGATCCTGGGGTCCTAGGATGGACCCCCACATCAGGCTTCCCTGCTCAGCGGGGAACCTTCTTCTCCTTCTACCTCTGCCTGCTGCTCCCCCTGCTTGTGTGCACTCGCTCTCTGTCAAATAAATATATATATATATATATATATATATATATATATATATATATATATATTTTTTTTTTTTTTTTTTTTTTTTTTTTTAGGAAATTAGATCAGGAAGCAGGGAGAAGGGATAAATTTGCCCAAGGGAATTTTCTGGAATGATGAAAAATATTCCATATCTTGATTATAGTGGTCTTGGTTACATAACTGTCCACACTTTCCAAACTGTGTACCATTCTGTATACCTCATAAGTGTGACTTACACATCAACGGAAATGAATGCACATGTCCACAGTGAGACCCACACAGAAAAGTACCTAGCAGCTATAGGGGTATACTGGAGACACACCAAATGTCCATCAACAGGTGAGTGGACACACGGTGGCACAACCTTGCCTTGGAAAATTACTCAGCAAAAAGAAATGAACTATGGACTCACACAAAGAGCATGGGACGTATCTCAGAATAACCATGCTGAGTGGAAAAATCCGGGCACCAAAAGAGCCAGCTCTCTCTGATTTCATTTATTATGAAAGTCCAGAGAGTGGAACTTTGTGCAGTGACAGAAAGCAGATCAGTGGCGGCGGGGGATGGCGAGGCATGGGACAGGTGGGAGGGGAGGATTACCAAGGAGAAGAGGTAACTTCCAGGGTAGAAGGCAGGTCATGAACGTGACCTGGTGACCATTTCACAGATATATACATGTGTCAAAATTAATCACGTTATACACTTCATTCTTATTACTTATAAACAACATAAACTTACTTACAAATAACTTCATGGAATTACCATGGTATGTAATTATACTGTAATTTCCTTCACCACACCCCAACTGACAGATATTTTACTTGTTTGCAGCTATTTACTAACATAAATAACCCTATAATGAGAAGGCCGTGTCCATCTGTCTTTTCTCCCTTGTATGTATGTGTCCCATTGTACAAGTGAAATTACTGCATCAGAAGGCGCACCCATGTAGAATTTTGATGGAAAACCCCCAATGACCTTTGGAAAACACTGTGGCCACAAACGCTCCCCCAAGGGTGGAAGAGAGGCCTACTTCCTCCTACCATGGACCACACTAGGTGCTAGCAGGTTTCACCTCTGATTTGAATCTTAAAAGCATGCTCAATCTTAATTTTTTAAATTAAGATTTTTTAAAAAATTATATTCTCCACATTTTTTTAAAGTAAACTCTATGAGTTTACTCACGACCCCAGGATCAAGAGTCGCATGCTCCACTGACTGAGCCAGCCAGGCGTCCCTTCCTCCACATTTTTAGAAAACATTAACAAAAACGTCTTCTGGAAAATTTCACAAAAGTATCTCAAAAGACTTCTTCTCCTGCAACATTCATCCAGGGAGACCCAGAGAACTGTTAGGAAATTCACCTCAAGAAAACTGTCAGAATATGAGAAACCACCTCAAACTGCCCCGAACCACTTCTGAGGTGCTGAAACCCACCTCTTGGTAATAACTGGGGCCCCAGTCTCCAAAAGTGGAATGGCTTTCTGTGGGTAAGAAGGCCTTCAGCTCCCCACCCCAGGGCCCAGGGGATGTTTTGGGAGCCCAGTCACCAAAAAAAGCCAGCTGTTCTAATGGCCTCAACATCAAGCCAGGAAAGGTGCTTCTTCTCAAACTGAGGAAAAGGAGTGGAGCTTTCACAGGATTTGGAACTCTGCAGAAGACATGGGTTCAAATCCCAGTTCACCACTGATCTCACTGTAGGACATAAGTGTCTTTACCTTGGCCTTAGTTTTCCCATCTGCAAAATGGGGGTGATGATAATCCTGAATTCATATGGTTGGACTGTCATGAGAATTAAACAATCAGCAGAGTGCCGGGGTTAAGAACTCAGGATCTGCAGTCCAGAAGACCTGACGTGGAAGTCCGGCTCTGACACTGAGTAAAGCCGAAATCTCGGGGGAACCTCAGAGACTGCTTTTCTCAAGGGCAGGTGAACGTCATGACCCTATCAATCTCAGTGGGATTTTGTGATGACTGAGAAAGATAATATATATAAAATGCCAAACAGAGTCTGGCTCCACTGTTACATTTTGAAACGACTCTGTATGTGTACATATGTGAAAGATAAACTTTTAAACCTACAAAATGAAAACTATTGCTTTTATTACAGGAACCTGCTTAAGAGGACTGACTTTTACCAACTTGAAGACAAATCCTACATCATTGCCAGATGCATAGAGAGAAGAAAACTATTGCTTTTATTACAGGAACCTGTTTAAGAGGACTGACTTTTACCAAACTCAAGACAAATCCTACATCATTGCCAGATGCATAGAGAGAAGAAACGGGTTTCCCCTAAACATTTTAAGTTCTCTTATCATGAAAAAGTGACCATGGGCTGGTTGGTAAGGGAGGGGAGAGGTTAAGGTTACTTTGCAAATCAAGCTGTAGACTGAGACCTCATAACCATCTGTAAAATGGTTACTGTGGAGGTTCTTGCCCTCCTGAGCACCCCCCACAACCCCCAGTAGCTGTGAGCCAGAAGTGACTGGTTCCCTTACCAGGTAAACGGGGCTTCGGTTGTTATCCATTGCAGGGATGCCGGTGAGGACCTCAGCTAGCACCTGGAGAGAATATGCAGTTAGCATGGTTCAGACACTCAAGCAAAGGTTCAGGCTAGAGATAGAGGCCAAGAGCAATGACTCTTCTTAGTAACAAAGGCAGGGAGCTCCAGGCCCGACTCTGCCATTTGTCACTATAAACACTTGCCCAAAGTCAGGAACATGGGAATATTACTAAATACCTCCTCCAACTAAACATATCATCCAGCTGCTAATAGAAGCTTTGAATGAACAGCAAGTCAGGTAAGATGGAAACCAAACGTGTGCCTATTACCATCAGTTTTATATGTATATGTGTAGCCATATAAATATATAAAGTATATGTTTATATATGCATACTGTATATTTATATTAAAATACCTATGTATATATAAATAATGCATGTGTAAATATGTATATTTACATACATATACTATATACTTATATATACATGTGTATTATACACACACACATTTTTGTATATATACATGTATCTACACACACACTATATTTTAAAGATCATTTCATTTAAAAACCCATCAGAAATGGTAAGCAAGCATTGCTACGTCAGTTGCAGGAAAGGAGGAATCCATGTACATAAGTCTATTCTACACAGAAAGTCTCAGTGACATCTAGAGCATGTTTCATCCCAGGCCTTTATTAACATGACCTGTTCATTAATTCACCCACTCACAGAATGAGCAGAGCTCTACACCAGTGTGAGACACCACAACACTGACAAACCATGATGTGTGTCTTCATAAAGGGGAAACCTGCTTTGAACAGAACTTCTCAGCAGACCATAGTGGTTAAGGGCTCTCTACAGTCAGGCCTTCCTGGGCTCAAATTCTGACTCTCTTCCCTAATCGCTAAAGGGCTAAAATCTGAGCCTGCATCCCTACCTGGTAAATGGTGATCTGCTGGTTGTGAATATAAGGAAGTGAGTACCCCACGCTGAGTTTCAAATCTCTCTCCCACAACCTCCCTCCAAACAAGTCAGAATAGTCACATTTACTGCCAAGAAATCCTTCGTCCTCAGAGGAAGGACCTTGGGTTAGTCAGACCGGCAGTGGCCAGCAGGGGGCAGCAGAGGGCAACCGAGCAAGCTGAAAAGGGCTTCCCCAACCAGCTCCTGCCAGGAAGGGAGGGAAGAACAAGGGGTAATGAATACACAGACATTCCCTTCTGCCTCTTCCACAGGCAGGCTCTGTGCTGAACCTTTTAGAGAGGCCATTTAATGCTCACAAAACAACAACAACAAGAACACTGAGAAATGCAGTGTTCCCAACCGGAAGGATCAGAGTTCAGAATCATACTGTCAGTTAGTGGCAGAGCTGAGAAAAAAAGAGATGAAGGGAGCCAGTGGGCACAGAATGCATAAACTAATTTTTAAAAATTGTTGCATCGGGGCGCCTGGGTAGCTCCGTGGATTAAGCTGCTGCCTTCCGCTCAGGTCATGGTCTCAGGGTCCTGGGATGGAGCCCCGCATCTGCCTCAGCATCCCTGCTGAGCAGAGAGCCTGCTTCCCCCTCTCTCTCTGCCTGACTCTGCCTACTTGTGATCTCCCTCTCTCTGTCAAATAAATAAATAAAATCTTTAAAAATAAATAAATAAAATAAAATAAAATAAAATAAAATCTTAAAAAAAAAATTGTTGCATCAACAGCTGAATTAAAAAGTCGAGGGTTGAGACGCCTGGATGGCTCAGTTGGTTGAGCATCCGAATCTTGATTTCAGCTGGGGTCATGATTTCAGGGGTGTGTAATGGAGCCCACATTGGGCTAAGGGCTCAGCATTCAGCACAGAATCTGCTTGGGATTCTCTCTCTCCTTTCCCTCTGCCCACTCACACTCTCCCTCTTAAAAAAGAAAAAAAAAAAGAGGGGCAAACAAAAATCAGAAATGAGGGTGTGAAAGTAGGAATACCAACTACCACCACAATAATCCTCTTGATAAGTGTAGGGTACCTGCTAACTATTTGCATTATCGTATTAGTCGCCATATTTGTCACTAACCCCTTTCACAGAGGACAAAACAGGCCCAGAGTTACAGGTCAGGTACCCAGGGTCACACAGCTGAAAGTAACTAAGCTGGGACTCAAACCCACACTCTCACACTCTACCCTGGATTGCCTGGCAGCCTCAGGGTTCAGTCCCGCTGGTTTTTAGAAGAGCAAGAGCCTTGGCTGGCCCCAATGAGCTCCAATGAGCCACTCACAGTGGAGTTGATGGGGGCAAGGAAACCGGAAGAGCCCATGGGAGATAGAAGGAAGCAGAATCTGGCATCTAGAGGTCAGGATCAGAGCAGAAGGTGGCTCAGGAAGGGCACGAGTGGGAGAGGTGGATGGACAAGAGATGGGGCAGAGAAAGAGGATGCACAGAGTTCGAGGCTAGAGAGGAGAGAGAAGTCACAGTCTGAGAGGCAGCTATTTGCTCCTGACAAAGGCCAACCAGAGACTGTCACTTTCCTCAGCCAGCATTTCCCAGACTTGGTTCCATGGGACACTGGTATGGAGAGAGACTGAGGAAACAAGGTTCCATAGTCAAATGATTTTGGGAAATGCTGCATACCATTTGCCCAGCTATGGTGAATTCACAACTGAATTAGATTAAAGGCTCATTACCGTATTAAAGTCTCTGATTAATTTTATGGTAAAGAAATCTGCTTGACTCTGCTTAACCCAGCATTGGTCATACCTCTTTGGCCACAAAACCCTTTAAATACATCAAACCTACAGAGACCTCAAGGGTGTTCCACAGAAATATACTTTGGAGACTGCTATACTCAGACCATGAGCTCCTGAGGGAAGGACTGTGTTTGAGTTACGTTTTTATTCCCAGTGCCTGGCACACAGTGATGACAGACAGGACAGCGGTGTGAGGAGGGAGTAAGGATACACAGGTGGATACTAAATGGATAGGTGGCTGTTGAATGGATGGCTATTGGAGGGACAGTTGAATGGATGACTGGACAGATGGATGGACAATGTGAGTCAACGGGATAGACCGTTAGATGGCTGGCTGGCTGGGAAAGAGAGAAGGAAAGAGCCTCACAGAACCTGGACGCTCATGAGTAACAATACTTCAAGGGCTGGCAAATTTTTTCTATAACAGGGCTAGATTGTAAGTATTTTAGGCTTTGTGGGCCACAAACCAAATTTCTATCATATACTCTTTTTTTTTTTTAAGATTTCATTTATTTATTTGAGAGAGAGCACAAGCAGGGGGCAGGGGCAGAGGGAGAGGGAGAAGCAGACTCCCCAAGGAGCAGGGAGCCCCACATGGGGCTCAATCCCAGGACCCCAAGATCATGACCTGAGCTGACGCCAGACACTTAACCGACTGAGCCACCCAGGCGCCCCACATATTCTTCTTTTATTAGCATCTTTTATAAATGTACTATTCTTAGCTACAGGCTGCACAAAATACGCCCCAGGCCATAGTTTGCCAGCCCTTACTTTACTTCAGTGGAATATATCTAGGGGGCTCTATTACATCTTCTGCTTACAAAGGAGCTGTGGGAAGGACAAATGAGGACAGGCCCAAGGCCAGGCCGAGAAGGGAGCTCTTACGATTCCACAGCTGAAGATGTCTACTCGTTTTGTCAGCTGCCCCACCCTGATGAAATCTTCCGGCAGATATGCAGCTGAGGCCTGGAAAAGATGAGTCTTCATCATGGTGTATCTTGACCTTTTGTTGTCAGGACACAGGTGAGCCATTGGATGAGCCAGCTTGGGGGTGAAGGTTTGGTCTAGCAAAACATTGGAGCTGTGGAAAAGAAAGCAGAGAGAACTTTCTCACTTGGAGCTGGACAGGAAGAGGTTGCCATGGAGACCCTTTCAGAGAACAACTTCACAATAAGCAGCAGTGGCCCTGGCAAGTTAAGAGTCGCTTTAGACCCTCTGCCTGGATTTTCTGAGCTGGTCCCGGTGAGGGAAGGGGGTGGAAACACACTTCCACCAGCAAAGGAGGACAGAGCTGAGATTAGTTGTGCTGCCCCAGGAATGGCCTTTGGGGTGGTCAGCAAGGTGCGGCCCCCCGATCCCCACAGATGTCAAACCCTCATCAACCTCAGCTTGCCTAGATGGTGGGCTATGCAGGCTTGAGCCCCTCTGACACTGTTGTGAGCCCTGGCTCTGGCCTGACTGACTCGAGTCTAAATGCCACGATCCCTTGTGATTGGTCCTGCCCAGATCATGGGACTATGAAGAACAATAAAAACATTCTTGGACCTGGGCATCTGACCTGTGGGAGTCAACACTCTCAGAAGCTACTTCAAAGGGAAAAACAAGAAAACAAATTACATGGATAAAAATAATCAAACTAACCCTAAACAGTTGTTTAAAAAATAGACATCAGGGGTGCCTGGGTGGCACAGTCAGTTAAGCGTCTGACTCTTGGTTTCAGCTCAGGTCATGATCTCAGGGCTGTGGGACTGAGCCCCCCACTGGGCTCCACGCTCTTGGGATTCTCTCTCCCTCTCCCTCAGCCCCTCCCCTACCCACAAAATAAATAAATCTTAAAAAAAAAAAAAAAAAAAACGGGGCGCCTGGGTGGCTCAGTGGGTTAAAGCCTCTGCCTTCTGCTCAGGTCATGATCTCAGGGTCCTGGGATCGAGCCCCACGTCGGGCTCTGCTCAGCGGGGAGCCTGCTTCCTCCTCTGTCTCTGCCTGCCTCTCCGCCTACTTGTAACCTCTGTCTGTCAAATAAATAAATAAAAAATCTTAAAAAAAAAAAAAAAACAGACATCAATTCCAATATCCCCTATTAGGGGTAGTTAAGTAAATTATGGGCCAATCCCTTCAACAGAAAACTAAGAAGTCACTAAAAATGATGGCATGCCACATGAGGAAAGATTTGCCTTGTTTAAATAAAGGGGTAAGAAAGAAAACATGAATTGGTAAGCAGACACAGTGCCCCCTTAGGGTTAGGACTTCTGTGTGGGCAACGGTTGAAGAAGTCAGGGCACCAGGGCCAGAATGATCTCTCACCCTCTCACCCTTTCATTTCCTTTCTTGCTATTACAATTGTCTGTGTAATCAAGCAAGAATCAGGGAGGAAAAAAGAGGACAAGGCTTCCACTTGCCAAATGGAAAACTTGGAGGAAACCATGAGTTCTATGGTTTCAAGGTCAGTTATGCCAGATTTTCTGGTATTTTCTGGAGTCTCTCCATGCTGCCAGTCCCCAGACAGGACTCTTGTTCTTGGGAGCATGGTGCTAAGATACTGGGTTGCACACCTACCCTGCAGGAAGCTTCCCTGACATGAGTTGCTTTTACCAACAGATACATAAGCAGGGGGTGGGTGTCCAGGAAGATGCTGAGTGAGGAGCTCAAAATCCTAGAGGCCTTGGCCCAAAGCTCCAGGATCAGGTCCAGACCAGCTGCTGGGTTGGAAGTAAAAGGCATCAGGGATGTGGGGTATGCGCTGGGAAAACACCAGCTCAAAAAGACAAGCACAGTGACAGGGAGGCAGTGTGTAGGGACAGCAGAAACCCTGAGTTTTGAGGGAATAACAAAGAAAGAGAGAGAGAAGAGACCCAGGAGAGGTGGGGTGGGAGGAGCCATCCAAGGGCAAGAGAGACCGAGGGAGAGGAAGGGGCGCAGGAATGTGTGCGGCTGGACCCCCCGCAGCGCAGGCCCACGGCAAGGTCCTGAGAGACCCCCTCCCCCACCTCTTGACATTGCCATGGATGATCTCCAAGCTGTGCAGGTGCCCCACAGCACGAAGCAGCCCAGAGCAGATGCTGGCACGCTGGGGCCAGAGGAGGGCGTCTGTGCCTCCCTAAGTTAAAGAAAAAGAGGGAGAGAATCAGTCACACCTCTGCCTTTTCTTTCCAAGTCCCAACGAGCTCCCAGCTCCCGTCTCTCCTCCAGACCATCACATCCTCTGTGAGGGGGCTCAACCAGCACGGTGTACTGGCAGGGTACCATTCTGACATCAGGAGACCTCGATGTAAATCCCAGCTCAGATACGCACTAGTTGTGTGACTCTGGGAAAGACGCTCGATGTCCCTGGGCCTTGATTTCTGCTTTAGCTATAAAATGAAAGTGTTAACCCCATGCCTCTCTAGGGTTGCTCTAAGGACTCAGAGGACGATATGGTAGGGGGTATATGGTATATGAGTATATGGTACGCCCCTAGCATGGTGCCCGCCACACAGTGGGTGCTCACTAACCTGCAGCTGTTTTTATCACGACTATACAGTGGCAGGTCTGGAATTTTCCTCTAGGAGGGGGATCCTGGGAGAGGGGATGAGGAGCTTGTGTTAGCACACTAAGCACATGGGCCTAATGGCAATTTTATGTGTATTTGGGGAGACTTCATGAGGGCTGATGGGGATTGCAGGGTGAGCTAAAACTCTCGCCATCCCCCAGGCACTGTTGTTCTAGGACTGAAACTCCAGGCTCAATCACTACTTATTTTTTAAGCCCCATCATAGGTCCCATATTCTCTAAGAGCTGGCCTTGCTCACTGATTCCTTCTCAAAAACTCTGGAATTTATAGCCACATGAACCCTGTTTAAATTCCAGCCCTGAGGGGCGCCTGGGTGGCTCAGTGGGTTAAAGCCTCTGCCTTCAGCTCAGGTCATGATCTCAGGGTTCTGGGATCGAGCCCCGCATCGGGCCCTCTGTTCAGAGGGGAGCCTGCCTCCTCCTCTCTCTCTCTGCCTGCCTCTCTGCCTACTTGTGATCTCTGTCAAATAAAAAAATAAAATTTAAAAAAAAATAAATAAATAAATAAATTCCAGCCCTGACACCTGTCAGCTGTGTTCCTTTGGGCAGGTTGCTTTGCCTCTCTGCGCCAGAAACTCCTTTTTTTGGAAAACGGGGGATACCTCTTGAGTTGTAGCTAGGCCTGAAGGGGACAAGTGTAAAACCTTTATCGTGGTGTTTTGCACACAGCAAGAGTGTAGCAAACCTAAAAATCATTATTATACCATGAATAACCGTTTTGTCTGGTCTCTGTTAAGGGAAGCAGTAATTCTCTTGTGGAATAAATCTTCCTCCTATTTGAGGATTTTATGGGAGGGAGATTGTTTTTAAAATTGTAGTTTTAGGGGCGCCTGTGTGGCTCAGTGGGTTAAAGCCTCTGCCTTCGGCTCAGGTCATGATCTCAGGGTTCTGGGATCAAGCCCTGCATTGGGCTCTCTGCTCATCAGGGAGCCTGCTTCCCTCCCCCTACCCCCACTCCACACCCTGCCTCCTTGTGATCTCTCTGTCAAATAAATAAATAAAATCTTTTTAAAAATTGTAGTTTTAGTTGGTATTATGCTCACATGCTGTAACATGCAAAAGGTACTAAAGGGCATAGAGTAAAAATTCCTCTCCCATGCCCTAGCTACCTAGCTCACTTCCTCAGAGGCAGCCAAGGTACCAGTTTTTTGTATCTTTCCAGAGATAGCCCATAAGGACACAAGCAAATAGCTATATAATAGAATGGCATTTTTAATTTTTAAATTTTTTTTAAGATTTATTTATTTGACAGAGAGAGATCACAAGTAGGCAGAGAGGCAGAGGAGGAAGCAGGCTCCCTGCAGAGCAGCGAGCCCGATGCAGGACTCGATCCCAGGACCCTGAGATCATGACCTGAGCCGAAGGCAGAGGCTTAACACATTGAGCCATCCAGGCGCCCCTAGAATGGCATTTTTAGTAAATAAAAATTTGCATCTATTTCTCCATACTCTGTATCTCTTAATTATTTTTCTTGTCCTATTGCCTTGACTAGCACCCCCAGAACAATGTTAAATAAAATTAGTACTATGGGATACCTTTGTCTTGCTCTTGTCAAATAATTTTTTCATAGGTTTTTACCTGAAGATGTTTAGCCAGATCTTATCTATCCCAACCTAACTTCTCTCTAGATGTCCCCTCTCCCCTCCGGAAGTCCTTAAACCTTGAGTCCCTAACTGGATACTATCTGGTCCTGTTCTCTGACCATGACCCAGCCCCTTACCTGACCCTGGAGTCTGTCCTGTAAAGAGCCATTTGCCATGTACGGGTAGATCAGGCTGCAAAGCTGATTTCCAGTGCAGAAGCCCAGCAAAGGTAAGACGTTGGGGTGGCAGCATCTGAAATCACATATTAGTGCAGAGGTGAGGAGTCAGACAGAAAGAATAAACAAGGACTGCTCTAATTCCTCACCTCCCACCCCTCTTCTGCCCCCTCTACCCATGAGGTCACCAGTGACTTCCCAGATACCAAATGCTCTGATCCCTGAAGACCCAGTACCAGGGTAGAAAGATGAAAACTGCCTGCCTTCAACAAGTGTGAAGTCAAGGAGCTCAGACTTACCCTACCTCACTGCTCTGCTGCACAGATCACCCTAACTAGTCCATCTTCTAGAAACAGAGGCTTAGAGGTTAAGGAACTTGCTCACGGTCATGACCAGCATGCAGGGAAGGCAGGATCAGATCGCAGGGCTGTTGGGACTCCCGGGACTGGGTTCTTCCCTGAAATCCTCTTCTCCTAGGTTCTGAGTCACTGCTCCCTCCTGACTCTCTTCATACCTCTCTGACTGTTTTCCCCTGGCTTTTCTCACCAAGATTCTCCTCCCTTGCCTTCCTCTGAAAGCTCAGTACCCCCGGCTCAGCTCATCATCTTGTTTGATCAGCTATATCTCCAGGTATCTCCTACGTCTATGGGGAATGCTCCCCAAAATCTCTCATTGCAGCCCCTTCCTAAGCTCTAGAACTGAATGTCTGTTTGCATTCTGATGCTCAGGTGAAGAACTTCGACTCAACAGGTCCCAAACCCACTCTGTGCCCAGTTATTATCCCAAAAAGGCAACTATGCAGTCTCCATGAAGTTTCCTGGAAACCTCCTTACCTCCCCATCTAACTGGTCAGCATTCATGGTCATAGACAGTTTTCCAACTGTCCCATTCATTCACCCCTCCTCCACCCTGAGTCAGACCCTGATGGATGCTCCCCAGGACTATTGTAATGGACTCCTGGTCAATCCCTCCTGCCCTCCTCCACTCCCCCCAGGCCATCATACTGCACTTTTCATACTCAGGAGAGTCATTTACACTCAAACCCTTCTGGACCATAAACATTCCCAAGGCAGGGACTGTGTATCTTCCCTAGGACCAAAAAAGGCCTTTGCAACCCACAGCTGCCCAGTCAATGAATGGGATGTCTGTCAACTCAGGGAAGTACTTTGCAAAAATGGAAAGGGGAATTATACTTTCATTTTTTGATTAAATATGTGTGTGCTTATTCATTCATTCAGAAGTAGTCATTTATAGGTGCTACGGAAAACAGGTGACTCTTATTTTCTTATTTATTATTTTCTTTATCTCTTAAGACACTCCACATTAATCACACATTCCTCGCCCAAGGCTGTGTGTTGGCAGAGGAAACCCAGAGAGCGACTTGCCAAGGTTGAATGACAGCGGGTGTCCAGCACCTGACGGGAGCCGGACAGGCATTTGTTAAATTCATCAGTCAGTGATGGCAGAGCCAGAACAAGTCTCCCCATGTCCTTCCTGTTCTTTTTGCCAGTCCCCTGCCAGCTCTGGGACAGGCAGGCTCACTTCCCTTCTCAGCCTCAGTTTCCCCATCTGTAAAATGAGCAGGTTTGAGGAGGGCTTTTTGAAGATCTTTATTGCTCAAGACTTTATGGCTCAAAATTTCTCTGTCGGGACACCTGCGTGGCGCAGTCGGTTGAACATCAGACTCTAGTTTCCCCTTCGGTAGTGATCTCGCTCCACGCAGAGTCTGCTGGAGACTCTCTCTCCCTCCCTCTCTTCCCCTCCCTGCTCTCTCTCAAAATAAAGAAATAAATCTTTTTTAAAAAGTCTCTACCAAAAGAACAAATAATCCAATCAAGAAATGGGCAGAGGACATGAATAGACATTTCTGCAAAGAAGACATCCAGATGGCCAACAGACACATGAAAAAGTGCTCCGTATCACTCGGCATCAGGGAAATACAAATCAAAACCACAATGAGATACCACCTCACACCAGTCAGAATGGCTAAAATTAACAAGTCAGGATATGACACATGCTGGCGAGGATGCGGAAAAAGGGGAACCCTCCTACACTGTTGGGAATGCAAGCTGGTGCAACCACTCTGGAAAACAGCATAGAGGTTCCTCAAAATGTTGAAAATAGAACTACCCTATGACCCAGCAATTGCACTACTGGGTATTTACCCTAAAGATACAAACATAGTGATCCGAAGGGGCACATGCACCCGAATGTTTATAGCAGCAATGTCTACAATAGCCAAACTATGGAAAGAACCTAGATGTCCATCAACAGACGAATGGATAAAGAAGATGTGGTATATATACACAATGGAATACTATGCAGCCATCAAAAGAAATGAAATCTTGCCATTTGCGACGACGTGGAAGGAACTAGAGGGTATCATGCTTAGCAAAGTAAGTCAATCGGAGAAAGACAATTATCATATGATCTCCCTGATATGAGGGAGAGGAGATGCAACATGGGGGGTTAATGGGGTAGGAGAAGAGTAAATGAAACAAGTTGGGATTGGGAGGGAGACAAACCATAAGTGACTCTTAATCTCACAAAACAAACTGAGGGTTGATGGGGGGAGGGGGGTTGAGAGAAGGGGGGTGGCGTTATGGACATTGGGGAGTGTATGTGCTATGGTGAGTGCTGTGAAATGTGTAAACCTGGCGATTCACAGACCTGTACCCCTGGGGATAAAAATATATTATATGTTTAAAAAAATAATAAAATTTATTTAAAAAAAAAAGTCTCTACCAAAGGCTAGACAGTAAATATCTTAGACTTTGTAGGCCAATATGGTCTCTGCAGCAACTACTCAACAGTGCACTATCCCACACAAACAGCCAGAGAGAAGACAGAGATATGTAAGTGTGGCTGTGTTCCAATAAAACTTTATCATGGACATGGAAATCTGAATTTCATATACTTTTCACATATCATGAAATCTTCTTCTTATAATTATAATGGAGAACCCATTCTTAGCAATCAGACTACACACACACAGGCATGGCCTGATCTGGCCCACCGGGCATCATTTGCTAAGTCCTACTCTGGGGCAATACCATTTTGAGATGGATTTGCCATTGGAGTTGGAAACAGTAAATCTCTGACCATCTCAAAAAAATGGGATAGAAACAGATTTCTTGGAAGGAAAGAGCTGGACCAAGCGAGCCAAGACAATTTGATAATTCTAATCTATGCATATAGGTGCTTCATAGAAAAAGCATGGACTATGAAGCCAGACCAACCTAGGTTCAAATTCTAGCTCTGCTACTTACTAGCTGTGTGATCTTGGACAAGACACTTAACCTCTCTGGGCCTCAATTTGCACATGTACAAAACAATGCTGATAGGAGCAGCAATGTTACAAGGTTCTTATGAGGAATCAATGAATTTTTACATATGGAATTTTAAGGCATGCCTGGCACACAGGAAGCACTATATCAAGGTTAGCCATCATCATTAAGTAAAGTATTTTCCAAAGGGGAGGCTTACCTGCGACAAATTTGTACCTCTGCCTGGAAGAATTTTTCAACTGATCCTGGACCTGAGTAGGCCACCTGTGGGAAAAGACAATGAAACATGAAAATCCAGGCTCACCAGTAGATGTTCCACCCCTTACTTGAAACCAAGAAGTGCTCGCCTCTCTGAGCTTCTTGAAGACAAATGGCGTGCCATGCCTTTGCCCTTTGTAGATGTCAGCAAAGGTCCCCTCACTGATTTTGTGGTTTTGGTTGAAGTTATCAGTTGCCTGGACCACGTCTGCCTCGCTCCAGAAAAGGCTGTCTTCAGCTCGGCTCACAAGTGTTTCCTGCTTAGGAATGGAGGTATTAAAGCCCTGGGAATGCAGACAGAAGAGATGGAGATTAGTATGGGATTAATATGGAAACTATTTTTTCCCTACTACCTCAGGGAATCTTAGCTCATCAAAGCTGAAGAGGTAGGGGAGTTCATCTTGTCCAGTGAGGAGAAACGGTCCTTTATAAGACATGGATAGGGCCCGCTCAAATCCCAGCTCTGCCTCTAACTGGCTCTGTGACCTTGGGTAAGCAGCTTAACCTCTCTGAACCTTAGTTTTCAGAGCAGCAAAAATGAAGATAACCATAGTACTCTGGAGGGTAATCCTGCAAATCAATTAAAATGTGAATATTCCTCGCACGTGGTACGGTTTTTGCTTTGTCTTTTTCCCCAGTTTACAAAAGTGAGAATCAAGGAGGTCAGAGAGCTAAGGTGAGGTCACACAGCTGGTCAGCAGCTGAACTGGTGCCCCAGGTCCTACACATGGTATACATGCTGGGAAGCAGGATCTAAGTTCACACAAACAAATGCAATTCTGTGTGAGTCTCTGAAAAGAAGCTCTCCCTCAGTCACGTACCTTCTTAAAAATAGGTGTACAGGGGTTTAACTTTTTTTTAAGTTATCTATGCTCTTACAGACAGTTTTTGAAAATTAGAGGGTGAATACCATCCACGATCCCATTATCCACTGAACTGTTATGAGAGTTTAAAGTACTTCTTATAAATTAGATACACAGGATTTCTTTTTTTTTTTTTTAAGATTTTATTTATTTATTTGACAGAGAGAGAGAGAGAGATCACAAGCAGGCAGAGAGGCAGACAGAGACAGAGAGGGAAGCAGGCTCCCTGCAAAGCAGAAAGCCCAATGCGGGGCTCGATCCCAGGACTCTGAGACCATGACCTGAGCCAAAGGCAGAGGCTTAACCCACTGAGCCACCCAGGCACCCCAGGATTTCTTTTTAAAATCAGGATCAGGGACGCCTGGATGGCTCAGTGGGTTAAGCCGCTGCCTTCGGCTCAGGTCATGATCTCAGGATCCTGGGATTGAGTCCCACATCGGGCTCTCTGCTCAGTGGGGAGCCTGCCTCCCTCGCTCTCTCTCTCTCTGCCTGTCTCTGTCTACTGTGATCTCTCTCTGTCAAATAAATAAAATAAAATCTTTAAAAAAAAATGAAATACACAGACCTGTACCCCTGGGGGAAAAAATATATATATATATATGTTTATAAAAAATAAAATTATAAAAAGACAAAAAAAAAAATGAAATAAAATAAAATCAGGATCATGCCATACACATAGTTTTGACTTCTGGTGATTTCACTTAACACTATACCATGATCAGTCCACCAATTAGTAAATTATCTTTGAAGATTAGTAATTATGTATTTAGAAAAAAACAAAACAAAACATGCTTAAGTGCTCGTCTCCTTTATGGAAGAGTCTCATTAACCAGACCCATGTAGCACTGGCTTTTCTGCTAGGCACCCTGCCCAGGATACTTTTAGAGGCCCACAAAAATGTTCTGATTTCTTTTAAAGCCAGAAGAATAAGAATGAACTTTTAGAGTCGAAGAAATTGTTTTAATTTTTTAATACAGCTTGGATTAGTTTCATCTTTGTGCAGTGCAATTGTAAAATATAATCCTTTTTTTTTTTTTCCATGAAGGAAAAAAAAGGCCCACAAAGGCAAAAGTGTCTAAGACCCTAAAGGTCACATGTGGTCCTGGACCCAAGTCACTGCAAATGTGGGACAATTCAGACATGTATTGGGTGGGAAAGGATTAGAAGAGAGGTGGTTTGTAAGCAAATGACTTAGTATACATGTAACCAATATATTTGTGGGGAGAAAGATACCATGTATCAGCTCCCATCAAACACAAAGAATAGAAAAGCACATTTAAAACCATGTATTCGTGTAAAGGGCATCCCCAATCCCAGGGCCCCAGGCCCTAGCTGCATTGATAGCCTGCATTTAGTCTTGGAAGCTTGGAGTAATTCCTTTCTCCCTATCCCCTCAATCCCTAGCCCCCATTTTGGTCTTTTTTTTCTTCCCATTTTATTCATTTATGTCATCTCTAAACCCAACGTAGGGCTCGAACTCATGACCCCAAGATCAAGAGCTGTAAGTTCTCCTGACTGAGCCATCCAGGAGCCCCAGCACACTGCATTTTTGAGTGGGAGCCACAAGCTGGGGCTGGGGGGAGGAAGGCGGTATTCCCAGATTTACCTTTGAATCGGATGAAACAGGAAAGTCAGTTTTTAAGGAATGAGGGGCATCTGCAGAAGGAGGCGGGAGGTTGGCTCTAGCTGGAGCAGGCCCCGAAAAGGAGGGACCATGGGTCTGGCCGTGCCCTAGAAAGGAGGAAGACAGGAGGGGTTGGTAACCAGTTCCCACACCAATTTCTCCTTCATTCCACAAACACTTTTTATCATTAATGACACCTGCTATTTCCTGACACCCCCAGGGGCCAGCCTATACGCTCCTCATGAGCCACCTTAGTGAAGCTCTGTGACAGCCCCAAAGGTTGGTTCCATATATGATTCCCACTGGGCGGGGGGAGAAGTAGAAGCACTGGAGGTGGCTACTGGCTCAGGGCCACTCAGCCAGTAAGTGGCAGAGCCAGGCTTCAGATGGACATCCACGTGACTTCCAAGCCCTACTCTGGCCCACCTCCCACACAAGGAGCAATGAAGGACACAGAGGTGATTAGCTGTGGAGGCCGCCTTCCAGAAAACTCCATTGCAGCAGCAATGGCAATAACCAGCCTCCAAGGGCAGAGGCAGCAGAGAGGCCACCCAAGCAGGTTGGGAGGCCAAGGAGGGTTTCACAGAGGATTTCAAAAAAGTGGATAGCGGGCACTGAAGAAGTAGGACTGGCTGTGGGAAGGTATGAGAGCAGGCAAGCCCAGACATGCAGAAATTACTCAGGCATGCTTAGCTAGCAAACGCCACTGTCACACAAGGCCCTGCTCTAAATGCGTCAGTGTGTTAAGTCTCTTAATCATGAAAACAATCCTAGGAGACAGGTACTATTACCATGTTCTCTTTATAGATGGTGAAACTGAGGCAGAGAGAGGTGAAGAAACCTTTCTAAGGGCACACAGTCAGTGGCTCTAGAGTCCATGGTTTTATTGTTTTGTTTTGTTTTGTTTTTAGGCAGGCTCCATGCAGGGCACCCAGTGCAGGGCATGGAGCCCAAGGCAGGGCTTGAACTCACAGCCCTGAGATCAAGACCTGAGCTCAAATCAAGAGTTGGCAGCTCAACCGACTGAGTCAATCCAGCATCCCTGGAATCCGTGCTCTTAATCCCTTAGAGAATGAAGAAGATTCGGGAGAGAGAGGGCTTGAAGAGTAGTTTGGGGTCACGTAAAGGCCAGGTTAAAGAGGTGACATTTCTTCGAGGGGTACCAGAAAAGGATTAACCTGAACACTAACAAGGCAGTTTGGAGTCTGATGAATTAGAGTGGGTGCAAGCCAGGGTGGAGATGGCATGAGGGACGAGCTGTGGTGGCCATCCACATAGGAGCAGGCCTTGGCCAGAAGCCAGAAGCTTCAGATGTCATCATCTGGAAGCTCCCAGGTGGCCCCAGGACTGGGATGGCCTCTGCGTAACTGGGCACCAGCCCTCGAAGGGAACCTGGCCTTGACCCCAGGGTTGCTGGCCCAAGCCTCCTGTTTCAGGTATTTCTGGTTTATAACATCAGAAAATGAGGGATTAATCTGGAATTTTGGCCATAAAAAAGAAAATTAATTCGGAAGACTGAAAATAGCACCCTGATGAAGCTAGAATCAGGCTTACTAAACTATCAGCCGAGGCAACTGATAAAACAAAGCTCACCTAACGCCGGCTAAGCCTCTTTCATCCTCACAGAGCCCAAGAGGAGGGGTGGCCTAAGCCTCTCTCCAAGTCCATGGTTCTAGACCTCTAGACAGCTGAGAGCCCCACCACACTCTCAAATCCACGCCCACATCCGCCCAAGCTTCCCAGGGGCTGCTCCCCTATGACTAAGTATGGAGGGGACAAGAAGGGGAGATCCAGGGCCCTGCTCTCCCTAAAGACACCAGGGGAGCCTGCCTTAGACACTCCCACCCAACCTGCCCACCTTCTCTCCTTCACCCAGACCCCAAGCCTCCTCCAGCTTCACCCAGCTCCTTCCCTATTTTCTCTCAGGCCTTTGTCCTGTGAAAATCCTCCTGCTTCTCAGGTGATCTTGTCCAATACAAGCCTCTGCTGGCCGGCCCAGAGACCTCTGCTAACAGGCCACTGCTGCCTCTAGCCACACCCTGCCTTCTCTCGGTCTCAGCTCAGTACCCTTGGCTTGGGTCCCCAAACTGTGGTCATGTTCATCCCTCTCCTAATTGTTAGCTGTGTCTCTGTGCCACCTCACTGTGAGTGACTTGATGTTTTTCTTTCAATCTGCTTTAATTCACACATGATGTATTTAGCCTTGAAATCCCCAGAGATTTTTACGCTTGAGATATTCATCTTTTCTAATATCCGAGCTCTCTTGAACCACGGGGATCCAGCCTCCATGCCCTGGGGACTGCTGCTCTAGGTTGCTCTATTTCCCTCCCACTTCCCTCCTCAAATTCTGCCCTATGCTGGCCCCACCCAGAGCTGGCCTCAGGACGGGGTTCTCACTGTGCGGATGGTCCCTCTCCCTTTGCCCATTAACTCGCAGGCCAGCACTGGCTTCACATAAATCATGACTTTCTGGGCTGGCTTGATGCCTGGGATTCTCCTGAGGTTGGGAGGGTGTCACCGAGGTCTGCTCTTATGACATATGAGGGCTACTAGTTGAAGGAGGGGCTCTTTATCCCTGTGGTTTTGGGGAGAAAATGAATGGGATTGGAGCCAATGCCGCAAAGCTGACAAATCAGACAAATCAGATAGACTTCAGTTCAGCAAGAACTAGACTTGCTTTGTAAATGTTTGGTGGAAGCCCTGGGTCAGGGAAGACACTCAGCCTCACATATGTCCTTTCCAAAGCACTCACCCTCCATGTGCCAAAACTTTCACTAAGAAAAACATTTCCTACGGAAGTCTTTCTGGAATGTCAGCTTTCCCAAGCAGAATACACAGACTCTTGTTCTGCTGGGCTGGGTCATTACAGGCATGAGTCAAGAACACCAGGGAGGGAGGTTGCTGCATCCTGCCCTGGAGCTCCCCAACCCCTTTGTCCCTATCAGTGCAAAGCCCTCTCCAGATGAGGCTGGTTTCTGCAGTAGCCCTACATAAGGAACACCAGAGTTGGTAACCCCTATCCCCTCCTCCATCTGGGCCAGCATTCCCCTAGAATTTCCCTGATTTACTGTAATTTTTCCCTTTGGCCATCAACCAGTATCACCTTTGCTTGAGGACCACTTTCCTTTATCTTTAACTGCTGATCATAGTTCTGCCCTGGTTTTTGTTTTTTATCTTTAGCTACAGTTAACCGTTCAGACTTCCTGGCCTAGAATTATTTTCCCAGCTTCAGCCTATCTGGGGTGTCCAGAACACTGCTAATATTAACTAACATTTGATGGGCACCTAATGGTAGCAACACTGACATGTTGCCATAGCAACTATGACATGTTGACATAGGCTTTCGTTACTGTGCCTGATTTTTTTAAGATTTTACTTATTCATTTAGAGAGAGACAGCACACGTGAGTGGGGAGAGGGGCATAGGCAGAGGGAGAGAGACAATCTCAAACAGACTCTGCACTGAGTGAGGAGCCCAATGTGGGACTCAATCTCACAGCCCCAAGATCATGACTCCCTGAAATCAAGAGTCGGTCGCCCAACCAACTGAGCTACCCAGACACCCCTTTATCATTTTAGATAAAGAAACCGAGGTACAGAGAAGCTAAGCAATTCTCCTGCCAGAAACTGAGAGGTGGGATTCAAATACAGGTTTGTCTAATGCACACACCCAGGTGCACTCCTCTAGGCCAATGCTGACCCCGGCTTCAGGAACAGCATCAATGAACTGAGATTTCTTGGATTTGGGAGCTTCAGCTCCCAACTCGGAGCCTACAGCAGAGCAGAAGGGAGGCCAGGCACTCGGGGAGAGGTGGTGAGAAGGGACACACAGGTGCAAATAGTGTGAATAATGGTACCCCTCCCCCGAGCCCCCCCCAACACTGCCCCAGGGAAGCCATCCTCAGGCTGAGTCCTTCCATCATTTGACAAACTGTCCCTGAACCCTTCCCTGGGCACAAGGGGGTGGGAGCCCAATCTGAAGTGGTCTGAAAGGCTCTGGGACGGCAGTGTGGTTGGTGTTAAGGACAGAGGCATTTAAACCGCAATACTCAGATGCGACTTTCTACTTTCGTGACCTTGAGCAAATCACCTCAGGTGCCGTGGAACAAAGCAACAGATGTGTGAGGGGCAGAGGAGAGGAAGGTGGGGAGGTGGGCAGGCAGCACCAGTCATCACCCAGCACACACAGCTGCCATGGGCAGTACAGGGTGGAGAGGTCATCAGGTTCTCAGCTGGAACCAGCAGCAGGACCCACCTGTGCTCAGGACTCAGGAAACCACAGGGAAAATACCTGGGTCCCAGAGCATGTGACCTTAGTGGGCTGTGTAACTTCTCTATGCCTCAATTTCCTCATCTGTAAAATGGAATCAGCATACCTAACTTGTACAGCTAACTGAGGATTACGTAGGCATCTCTGACGTGCTTAGAACAGTGTCTGAAACAGAGAGAGCCCTCAATTTCAGAGCTATCCTTTTTCTTCCTATAAAAATGGTAATAAGCAGGGGCACCTGGGTGGCTCAATGGGTTAAGCCTCTGTCTTCAGCTCAGGTCATGGTCTCAGGGTCCTGGGATTGAGCCCCACATCGGGCTCTCTGCTCGGCAGGGAGCCTGCTTCCCCCTCTCTCTCTGCCTGCCTCTCTGCCTACTTGTGATCTCTCTCTGTATCAAATAAATAAGTAAAATCTTTAAAAAACAAAAACAAAAACCAGTAATGAGCAGTTTATATTCTGTTGGTATCTTTTTTTACTTTTTTTTTAAAAGATTTTATTTATTTATTTGACAGAGAGTAGGCAGAGAGGCAGGCAGAGAGAGGGGAAGCAGGCTCCCCACTGAGCAGAGAGCCGGATGGGGGCGCTCAATCCCAGAACCCTGGATCATGACCTGAGCCGAAGGCAGAGGCTTTAACCCACTGAGCTACCCAGGTGCCCCATTTTTTTACTTTTTAAATTCAATATATTGTGAGCATGTCTCCATGTATGTATACATATCCACAACATTTTTAACAGTATTGTATTGTTTTGACTGACTGTCATTAACTTTACCATCCTCCTTGTTATTTTCAATTTTTTGCTATTATATGCTGAGCTGAATATCCTGATAGATAAAACATTTCCTTAAATACATTTTCTTTAAATTAAAAAATTTAATTTAGTTTAAAATACCTGGGCCTGGAAAGGAGACTGGCCCCACAGACGGCCCCTTTTCCTGTTCTTCTTCAGTGTTTCTTACAGAAGCTGCCAATGGCCCTCCTGGCTTCGCAGAGTCTGGGAGGTCTGGGAAAAAAGACTTGATTTCAGGAACTGGTTTCCATGAAACAAGATAGAAAGACAAAAAGCAGCTATTACTCAGTGAAGTGGGAAAGCCATCAAGAGGTGGGGTCTACAAGTCAGAGATCTGGGCTCTGTTCCTGGCTCCATCTTGAATTCACTGTGGCCGGGTAAGTTCTTCCCCTCCTGGCCTCAGCCTCCCCATGTATGTACTGGGGGGACATGACAATTTCCTGTGATGGGTCCGGCTCTGACATTGAGTCACCCAAAACTAGCTTCCAATCCTACCAGCGCTGTGAACTTAGACAAGACCCTCTCCTCTGAGCCTGTTTCTTCAGCTATAAAGTAGAGAAGGTTGGGATGCCTGTGTAGGTCAGTGGGTTAAGCATCTGCCTTTGGCTCAGGTCATGATCCCAGGGTCCTGGGATTGAGCCTCACATCAGGCTCCCTGTTCAGCGGGGTGTCTGCTTCTCCCTCTACCCCTTCCCCCCACCACGCTCTTTCTCGCTCACTCGCTTGCTCACTTGCTCTAGCTCTATCTCAAATAAATAGCTCTAGCTCTATCTCTATCTCAAATAAATAGCTCTAGCTCTATCTCAAATAAATAAGTAAATAATCTGGAGAGGGTGCCTGTCCAAAAGGGCTGTTAAGAGGAAGGTAATGGGAACATAGATGTGGAAGGGCTTTTCATCAACTATACATTTCCCCGAACATGGGAGGAAGTTACACATCTTCACCCCATCAAGTCCCTAGGGGAGCCCCTACATAAGAAAGTCTGGTGGTCCTACAGCTTCCCCTTCCACGAGCATGGAATCATGTCTTACAGATGGGGACCCTGCAAAGAGCCCCAAAGAACGCTAAGCATGCCACACCCAGCTGTGCAGCCTTCAAATCCTCACAAGCTGTTTGCATTTCATCCCCACTAGAAATGAGGAAACTGAGGCCTGAGCAGGTTAAGTGACTGGCCAAAGATCACATGGCCTGGACAGGCAGGACTGGCCAAAGAAGTCTGGCTGGAGGTTCCCTGGTTCTTGAGAAGAATCCCTTCCCCTTTGCACCAAGGTGAGAAACCCCAAAGGTGGTGTGAGGGCATATCTACACCAGCTCCCGACCAGCTCCTCAGAGCCCAGATGTAGTCTGTGACACAGCTTCCTCTCGCCTCCCCCACCGCTGTCCTGGCATCGTCTTCACCGGCCAGCAGCCACCTCCATCTGGGGCAGCCTCCAGACCCCTGCCCAGGCCACATCTTGCTAAAATACAACTCTTGTCTCTTCACTTCCCTGTTTAAAGCCTTTATGAACTCCCACAGTTCAGATGAAGCACACACTTTTCTCCCAGATCCTTGTATCTCCCCATTAACTTCCAGACAAAACCCAAAGTCCAGAGCCCTGCATTCAAGGCCCTTCACCATCGGGTGGTCTGGGGTGGACCCATATTTGAGAACCACAGAAACAGGGGCCCTGGAATTCTAGGGCCAGCCTCCATCTTGCTCGCACATGCATCAGGTGGGGCTAGGATGAAACATCTCCAGCCTTTGAGTCTCCCTCCAGTAGCAATTCCTCTAACAGGTAAACTGTGTCTCTCTCGAAACAAAACCCATTGTTACCAAGAGGCAAAGCTTTTCAAACCCAAGCTTTAGGACTAGAACTATAATGCCGGGCACCTGGGTGGCTCAGGGGGTTAAGCCTCTGCCTTTGGCTCAGGTCCTGGATTGAGCCCTGCATCGGGCTCTCTGCTCAGCGGGGAGGCTGCTTCCCCTCTCTCTCTGCCTGCCTCTCTGCCTGCTTGTGATCTCTCTCCCTCTGTCTCTCTGTCAAATAAATAAATAAAATATTAGAAAAAAAAAAAGAACAATAATGCCGAAGAATACATGGTACTACACTTGTAAGGAACCACAGAGACTGATTTTCACAATAATCTCTGGTGGCTGACAGAATTGTCTGCATTTTATTTTTAAGCACATTGAGCTTCAGATAGGTGAAATGATTTATCTCCAATCAAACAACTGGTAAGATTCAAAGCTAGGGCTGGTTTCACCACCCCCACTGGACTGGCTCAGCAGAAGTACTGGGATACCAGTGTTGTGCCTTCCCCACAGCCCCCCAAGGCCCCTCTGTAGGTGGCACCAACCCGGAGGCTGCCTGCACAAGTAGAAGAAGAGGGTGGAAACATAAGAAAAAAGGCTACAGGGAATGCACTAAAGTAGTGAGGAGGCTGAGTGGAAGATGATGGGTGACTTTCTCCTTCCCTGACAATGACTTACAATGATCTCTTAAATGACTGAGCCACCCAGGCACCCCTTATTATTATATCTTAAATAAAATTGGGGTATCTGGGTGGCTCAGTGGGTTAAGCCTCTGCCTTCAGTTCAAATCATGATCTCAGGGTAGGGATTGAGCCCCATGTGGGACTCTCTGCTTAGTAGGGAGCCTGCTTCCCCCTCTCCCTCCGCCTGCCTCTCTGTCTACTTGTGCTCTCTCTCTGTGTGTGTCAAATAAATAAATAAAATCTTTTAAATAAATATAAAAATAAAATTATGTTATGAATGAAGTAGCAGGGCCATCTGACTGGCTCAGCTGGTGGAGCGTGGATCTCTTGATCTTGGGATGAGTCTGAGACCCAGGGTGGGTATAGAGCTTCCTTAAAAATAAAATCTTTTTTTTTTAAGATCTTATTCATTTATTTGAGAGAAAGAGTGAGCAAGAAAGAGCGAATGCACAAGTTGGGGCGGGGACGCGCAGAGGGAGAAGCAGGCTCCCTACTGAGCAGAGAGCCCAATGTGGGGCTCAATCCCAGGTCTCCAGGATCATGACCAGAGCCAAGGGCAGACACCCAACTGACTGAGCTACCCAGGTGCCCTAACAATAAAATATTAAAAAAAGAAGTAGCAGGGAGCCTAGGTGGCTCAGTGGGTTAAGCCTCTGCCTTCAGCTCGAGTCATGGTCTCAGTGTCCTGGGATCCAGCCCCAGATCAGGCTCTCTGCTCAGCAGGGAGACTTCTTCCCCCTTTCTCTGCCTGCCTCTCTGCCTACTTGTGATCTCTGTCAAATAAGTAAATAAAATCTTAAAAAAAAAAAAAAGAGGTAGCAGAGCTGAGCTGTTTAGAGTTCAGGTTCTGGAATGGAAACCAGCTCTGTTGATCTCATACCCCTTTCCCTAGGATTAAGTGACACAGTGTGTATGACCTGCTCAGCTCTAACACGGGAACATCCTTGTTGCTATTATAATTTTAAAGTATCAGTTATCTCTTCAACAGCCCACATATTGAGTGTAAGGAGGGTAGGACGGGAGTCTTTAACACAACTTTGAATCATTCACACTGTTTTTAAATAATTTATTTTATATATTTTTTTTATTGTGGTAAAATACACATGACATAAAATTTACCACCTATGCCATTTTTTTAAAGATTTTATTTATTTATTTGACAGACAGATCACAAGTAGACAGAGAGGCAGGCAGAGAGAGAGAGGGGGAAGCAGGCTCCCCGCTGAGCAGAGAGCCCGATGTGGGGCTCGATCCCAGCATCCTGAGATCATGACCTGAGCCGAAGGCAGAGGCTTAACCCACTGAGCCACCCAGGTGCCCCCCACCTGTGCCATTTTTAAGCCCACAGTTCAGCGGCATTACGTCCATTCAGATTGTTGTACAACCATCACTGCCACCCACCTCCAGAACCTTTCCGCTTTCCCAAACTGAACTCTGTCCCCATTAAAAACCAACTTCCCGGGATGTCTGGGTGGCTCAGTCAGTTCAGCGTCTGCCTTCGGCTCAGGTCATGATCCCAGGGTTCTGGATCGAGTCTCACATTGGGCTCCCTGGTCAGCAGGGAGCCTGCTTCTCCCTCTGCCTCTTCCTGTGCTCCCCCTGCTTGTGCTCACTCATGTGCTCTCTCTCTCTCTGACATATAAATAAATAAAATCTTAAAAAAAAAAAAAAAGAAAAAGAAAACTTCCCATCCCTTCCCCCACAACCCCTGGCACCCACCTTCTATTTTCTGTCTCTAGAAATGTGACTGCTCATTTAAGTTTTTTAATTTGTGTAGGTGTTGGGTTTTTTTTTTTTCTCACTTTAACAGCAACTAAAAAAATATCTGTGTCTACCCTACCCATTGACATGGAAAGGTATTACTACACCATTGAGTGACAACAGAGCTTACAGAATATGTAGCCAGTTTTCGGTAAAATATGTGTAACGGTATAGAAGACATCTGTGTATGAACAGAAAAAGAAAATGAAGAACATACATAAAATGTGAACAGTGATTATTTCTGGGTAATGTGATTATCAGTGATTTTACACTACGGGTGGGTTGGTAGGTGGGTTGGCTTTCTGTTTATTCACACGGTAGAATTTTTCAACAATGACGATGCACTGGTTGCAAAGTAAAGTACGTTTCCTAAGGACAAAAAAATCAGGAAGCAAGCTAGCTTGCTGCAGTAATGACCAGCACTGGGTCTTTCGAGCTAGAGTGAGTAGCTGTTTGCTCTGGGGAATCCATCTGACCCAGATTAGCAAGCAGGCCATCTCTACATTCAGATCTGACTCACTTCTGTTTCTTGCCACCCACTGTTTACGATGTGTTCTTGATATTTTCACTACAAGTATTCTCACCACAACCCTGGAAGTAGCAAGGAAGGGACCCGCCCGAGGAAGAAGGTAGAAGAAAGGAGCACTGAGGCAGGAAGGTGGGGGAGGCCAGGGCTGTGGGCAGGACTCCACCCACAGAGGGGACCCCCAGGAGAACACACGCTTTATTACTTCCCATCTGGGGTCCCCAGTCCCTCAGAGGGTTGTCCATGGGCCAAGCTGCCCCCATCCCATCCCCCAGGCCAAGGTCCTTTTGGCCAAAACTGAGAGCCTGTGGGGGGTGGGGGAGTCCTCCCCAGCAGCAGCCATGCAGGTGGGACCCATGGAGTCACACACCTTTGCCTTTTGTGGTATCATTCCATTTGTTTCACAGGCCCTTGTGCAAAATGACATAGTAAGCGAGCACCAGCTGTGAAA